TCTTGTGGTTGTTATGAATGAGTTACACGAGGGAGCAGCAATGGTTGCCAGGATACAGCAGCTTTTGACTAGATATCATGAGGTATCGGGTGCATCTAATTGCAGTAGCCCACGAAACTGCCGATCCTGATCGCTGTACATCTAGGTGAATTTTATTATAAGCTTGTCGACAGACTTCCTTTGTCTCTGAGTTTGGCTATCAGAAAGACTATGATTGCCTGAAACAGTCGCGTTACGGTACAAGCGAGTACAAGTGGCAGAGGCCCATCTATAAATACATCTTACTCCTACGAATAGGTATAGCACGTAACCCTCTTGTTCTGTTTAGACAATTCCCTTATCATTCATCCTCCCCGACGAATTTGTGGTACCAATACCGATCACGTCAATTTAGTCATGAAAGCAATTGTTATTCAGAATCAGTCAACTAGAGGTTGAAAACAACTCAGCACAACTCAACACACGCAAAGTAAAAGATTGCAGCCGAGGCACGCGATGTAAATCACCAATAACGGATGAGTAACGTTCAGGAATTCTACTATCCGGTATGTTGCCGTTAAAAATGGATTATGTAAAATTTATCATATGCTGTGCCTTGAGATCAGCATTGGTGGGGTCTAGGCGAATGTGAGTTGTAAATAAATGCACAATACAAAGAGCACGGAGGTCTACTCTTTAATGTGTCAGCAATTGTGTCCTGTCAAGTACGGAGCCGAGATGGTCAAACCGAGGCCAACTTCGAAGTAGTTGACTTCGCTCCTCTTGACCAGATATTCGGTTGGCCGCCTCTCCTCTTCTTTAGTGCACAACCGCAACGCGCAAACAACGCACTTCGCGGAAGCCGGTGGGTTGCCATCGCAATAGTTGGCCCAGTTATCGGAGCGTGCTGCGTGGAATAACGGTGCTTAGTGTATCAATTCTTCTTCCTGCGTCACAAACGGGGCGTCTGAACACGCGCATATCTCACACGGTGTTTCCATCGGATAGGAGCCACATTTTGCTCAGAACACCCACGCCACCGTGACTTGAGCGGCCCCCGGGGCGCCACTCAGCCAAAGACGTCCCCGGCCGCGTCAGCGGCGGGACCGACGGGGTCGCCGGGGGGGGGGGGGGGGGGGATTTCGGCCTGTAGGGTCCGCGGGGCGCGGAGGTAAGGGGACCGCTACACGCGGGGGGGGGGGCTCGGGCTGCCCAGTGCAGACCCGTGCCACTCTCCGTATGCCGGGCGTGCACCGTGGACGCTGGGTGTGCTTGTGCCAGGCCCACCAGAGCCGAGTAAGGGCTACTCCTAACGCGGGGCGCTGCGGGCGCCTCGCAACCCTGACCGGACGGGCCCACGAAGCAAAAGAGGGGGGGGGGGGGGGGGGGGGGGGGGGGGGGGGGGGGGGGGGGGGGGGCGGCCCAGCCGATGTCTGATGATAGCCCGCGCCCCACGGCAGGTGGGAGCAGAACCCCCGGGGGGGAGTCGCGTCTGAAACGCACCGTAAAGAAGCTTCTTATACGGGTATGCTGTGTTGTAGCTGTGTGTGTGTTGTTACCAGGGACTGGTTGCATCGTGGCTGCACCACGCCATAGAGTGGGTTGCGCCGCCGAGGGCGGGAGTACGGCATGCTCCCGCTGTAGCACCGGTGAGCCAGTAGGACCAAGAGCGGGCCGCTTAACGGCCCGGACGAGCCCCGAACGCACGTCGTGCCGAGTGCGCCCGGCACGTGCGGGCTCTGCAGGGATTCCGGGCGGCTCTTCAGCGGCCGCCGGGCGTGGGAGGAGCCGGCAAGCGGGGACGTCACACCAACCACGCGATGTACGGTCCCCCCCCGTGTGTGATAGCGGCAGCGCGCGCCGTCCGCAGCGTACCCAGGGTAGAGAAATTGCGGCGCAACGGGCCGGGGGGGGGGGGGGGGGGGGGGGGGGGGGGGGGGGGGCCCCCGCCTACGCCGCACGGTACCAGCGTCCGGTGCAGCCGGGAGTGGCGTGAGGACTCGCATGCGGGCGGTACGCTCGCTGTGGAAGCGACCCGGGGTTGACATGACGGGGGGGGAGGAGGGTCTTTGGAAACATTTTTCATTTACTGGGACGCAATATCATCTCGTGAGGCTTTGGACGTTTTTTAGCAAACCAAGCTTGATGTGCAGGGGTGGTAGTTAGATACGATCAGGTTGCACAAGAGGTCTATGCTTTACACTCCTTTTCCCTGCAGCATACTCTGTCCTCTGGTCATTTTTCCGTTGTGTAGTGCTGTTGAGTTTCTCTACTGTCCCATAAGCACAAGAAACAGCAATATTTTGTGAAGTCTCCATGTATACCAATTAAGAGTCCAAGGACTTTGAAGTCAGCACAGATGTTCCAACTCTACTTATCGTAGTTCAGTGCGGCGAGTATCCATTGCATACTTTCGAAAGTGTCATTCAAATTGGTGGCATGCAACAGAGGCTCAGTTGGGTACACATTTCCATTATGGAGCATTTTGGCTTTAAGACCACTCTTGGAGGAATAAATGGACCAACACCATTCATCGGAAATGCTTCACGCCAAACTCCTTCATCAGTCCTTCCAGGTCGGAACAGTAATAAAAGGTTTCTCTCGTGTCATAGAAACCGGACAATTAAACACTTCGCTTTCGGTATCCAGTAACCTTAGTGTTTGCAGCAAGTAATTGCCACTACGGCAGCTGAGATGCCAACAACTCGACCTTGTCTTCAGGCAAACCAGATCACGAACCAACCCAGTCTGCTCTGATTGTTCAATAAGATCTGGTTTGACAACATCAGCTTCAAAGTTCTCACGGATGTCATAATCAGGGGAAGTTGACGATACGGAATCACTACTCATCATCAACATCAGGTTCACACGAGGTAGTGGAATGGGTAAGATGAAGTCATGATGACCAGGCCGAATAACTGATGGAAGATGGGGGTAATGAATTGTGTCCTTGTTTGGTTGGAGATTCCAATGTTCTTGGTTAGCCAGAAGTAGCATCTTGTCGTGTAATCCTTCGGCTCCCTCCACACCATGGGGATTACAAAGGGCACCTTGTTTTTGCCTTTGAGTTACTGAGTCAGAAGAAGATTGCACGACACACAAGTAATAGGTGGCAACCACTTCCTATCCTGATCTCCCAGTTTCATCCCGAAGTATGCGTGGTAGGAATACTTCACTAGTGAATACATGCGTCTGCACAGCGACTTCGTAGTAACCAGTCAACAGATGTACAAAAGTTTGATTTTGGTCATTGACACAGCAGCGTCTCCGGGACATGATCAAGATATCAATTACGGAAGTAGTAATAGTATCAACAGCATATTAACTAGACATGAAACCAACAAAACCAAGGGTATCAGCAGATAAGAGATAGAGTCGCCGCGTCATCATAATCAGGGCGAAGTGAATGAACCTGAACAACACACCAACTAATGCGCCGCAGGAATAAAAGGAACCTTTTTAATTTATCATGCGCCACATTTTTACTCTTTTCAACAATATAGCGTTAAGCTTCTTAATCAAAGCAAGTATATATATATATATATATATATATATATATATATATATATATATAATCAGCAGTCAAAGAAATGGACATGCAGCCAGCAACAAAACCGTGAGAATCAATGAAACATATAATTTCACAGCAAATTGAAAGAAACATCTTTAATCTGCTTTCACAGGTCGATTTAATTTTTGTTAACATTTACAAGGTTGAAGAGTTACACAGTTGAATTACTACAATTCTATACAAAATTATTTCAATGATTCCGGTGCCAATCCATGTTTTCAAGTATGTTAAGCCATTGACACTCTTCATCCCTGGGTCTCCATCCTGGGAGAAGTACGGATCCAACGGCTGTTAGATTTGAAGTCGGCGATTTTATGTGATGTCGCCAAGTGGAAGGCTGACCACTACGCAGTCTGCTCAAGTCAGGTCCTTAAGAAGTGAATGGATTGCGGCGCGCTAAACGCCCAGGCAACATGCGTAGGAGTTGTCCAAGCCACCTCAATCGGTACAGCAAAACCAGTTTATAGGAATATTCGCATTCCCTAAGACGCAACCTCGAACCTGACTATGAACTACCAATTAAGGAAACACAGCTCTTAATCAACTTCCAGTATTAGGTGGATACTATGGCCAGGATCACTTCTTTTATACGGTTACAGGGAACCAATCTACCAATCAGAGACAAGCATTCGCTGCATGGAAAGCAATGCTTACCTGAAATTAAAGACAAATTCAACAGATACACGACGTGATAGAAACATTTGATCCGCATATGTGTTATCAACTCATTCGTTGCTATCAGCAAGTCCCTATCTCACTTCTGTTGAGCAGTTTTACTTTTTGACGATAAACCAAGCGCTAATGTTAAAAGAACTGACAATACGAAAGAAAAAACGTGAGTCATCCTGCTCAGTAAGGACGCAGGTGAAACAATGCTACCCGGAAATCCGCTTTGCTATTTAACTAGCGGACAGAGCCCAAAATGGATCAAAACGGGGCTAAACTTCACGGACGTAGTAATTAACGAAGCCAAACGTATGTCTTATACTCTCTCGACGAAAAATACTGAAGTTGAAACGAAATGTGGTGACCCCGGTATTTTATGATACCTTGTTGTTCTGAAGTTCCGTGGTTGTATCCATTTGCTTGCAGATAAGTTCTGTTGGATACTGTTTACCAGTTATCAACTTTCGGGATAACAGTTTACTTATTCTAAGCATTAAATGTGTAAAGTCGATACCAGCCCCCATTGGCGCAATTTCAGGATTGTACGGTTAACTCTGATTCCGGTTGCTCTCGTGTCGCCCTTCGGGAAGCAAGAAAACTGGGCCGCGATCACAAAGTCATTCATTGAGATTAAACTCGAATATTTATAAAGTATATACGCTATTTACAACAGTCCGTCTCAATGGCTCATCCCTCTTATTTGCATTGTGTCGCTGGCTCCCTTTCCATTGGTTTATGATTGCTTGTGACATTCACTCTGTCTAAACCACCTTGGCTTTCTTAGTCGATGTACGATTGGCGGGATTGGGCCCACGAGCTTCTCCCCTCGGTCCAATGTCACAAGTCTTGGCTCAAGGGTGCAGGAGTATGCGCTCCTTCGTCTGTTGGCTCCTGATTGATCGTTGCACGTTCAGTGGATGGTTGCATGGTGGTCGCCATTACGGGCCAACTATTTCCTGATTGGCTGACCAGTCAGCTTCCGGCAGCATGCTACTCCTTATCGGTCTGGCCTGTGACGTTCTATGGGCATTAGAAACTTTCCGATCACCGGCATTTCCAGCCCCCTCACATTTGCAAGCCATGTTTTCAAGTATGTTAAGCCATTGAGACTCTTCATCCCTGAGTCTCCATCCTGGGAGAAGTACGGATCCAATGGCTGTTAGATTCGAAGTCAGCGATTTCATGTGATATCGCCAAGTGGAAGGCTGACCACTACGCAGTCTGCTCAAGTCAGGTCCTTAAGAAGTGAATGGAGTGCGGCGCGCTACAAGCCCAGACACCATGTCAATAAATGTTCGATATTGACCAATAGTGGTAGGGGGATTGCAGTGCAGTTTCCGGCGGGTTCTCTATCATTACAGTGTACTGTTGAAGCCCGCGATCTTGGTGCCATAACAGTGGACAGTTTTAAGTCCTGGGCACAGTGTCGCCATGCTGAATATCAGCGCGAGCTGTTTTACAAATCCAGTATTTAACATCTGTAATAAACTTCCTTGTTGTTTAGAGGAATGTGAGACTTTTGAAGCCTTCAGTAGAGGATTAGCTAATTGTTGGTCTGATCTTTTTTCAGAGATATTGTCGTTATACCCGGATATGTAGTGTATTCTGATGCTGACACATGAGAGTGTAAACACTGCTCCTATTATTGCCTTATGCTTTTGCAGAAGTAGGAACAGTCAAACCAATATCGAACTGTAGGGAGCTGTATTTCGCTTATCAGCAAAAGAAACAAGACGATCGTTAGGCAAAAACCTCTATCGTCTGTTGTACCTGACCTGAGCTGACCTGAAGTGATATATCGATCATTATCCGGTGTGCCCATACAGATCACCCTATTCTGTGGACATTTTAATTGCCACAACAATCTGAAAGCTCCTTTTGTTGTGCTAGTAACGTATCACTAACTGGAAGACCACCAGGGGAATACTTTAAGGTACCAAATGCACTGAAGTAAAACTAAGCGATTGATGAGTTTCAAACATACTAGCAATTAGCAGTTGGTATAAGAGGTAAGGAAATCACCTCATACCGATGCTTCTCTACGCTACTCTACACGGCTGCATGCCACTCAACTACGCACTGATGATGTTGTCACCTCGACTGATGACGCAACTGCAACAAAATTGACAAGCTCAGCGAACAGTTCAACCGCCATCTAAACAACCTGAGCTACCAGTCTTCAATGCTTTAAGTGTTTGCAAAATTTGTGTCGAGTGGCACTGCCTAACTTTCTTAGTTTGCACTTAGACCTTCAGGTTTTAATGAAGACTGTGCGAAAGGTAGCTAACATTTATGCACCGAGAATAGTGACCTCAAAGGTTACAGGCAAGAAATGTACCTTTTCTTGTGGGAATCGGCATAACGGTCGAGGATAAGTTGTACGCGAAATCGACGGTAACCGTGGTCTATTCCTTTGCAGATATCCCATAACGGAAGCAAAGGACAAAGTAGACAGTCAGCGTATTTCAAACAAATGATGCAACCAGGATCACCGCAGCAAGGTGAGCAAGCAAATTCTTTACCATATCCACTTGGCATAGTCCATTCTTCTTCCTCTGGTCTAGGCACAATAGTTGGACACCCATTAGGACATTGCTGGGTTTGACGCTGAATGGCGTAGTATACTGCATCGTAAGAGTTAGGCACATCACAGCAAGCGCAACATTCGAAGCAAGCACACATTAGGCAGCATCGAAGTTCTTGCTGGTCTTTACTTGCCTCTGACTCACTGTTGTCGCCTTTCCCGTCTGTGTCGGGTGACGAGTCTTCATCTGATGTAGAACCTTCTGTTGGACTGGTCAAGTCCGAAGCCTTTCGGTTACTGTTAGAGCAGTCAGAAAGTGTAAATAAAGGAAGACAATTTGGTTCCAAATCGTAACGATGCCGCTCGGAGTGATTTTCTTTTGAAAAGTTTGCAAAGGAAATGTGCGATAACGGCTCTGGTTGCGTGCAAATGACACCATCGCCAAAAGTAGGCTTGGTGTGTAGGTGGTGATGCATCACATGCGGAATGGGAACATATGTTGCGCTTTTGAATTTTTAATCGATAATAGTAAGGTGGAATAAAGTATGAATAGTGACTTTTGGCTCTACTTAAAACACTCCAAATCCAATTTTGGACGACACGGATAAAACAAGCGGTGATATTATAGCTTGGTGTTTCACGTTAAAGTATGTTAATACGCAAGTTTTTTCAATTCTTTGTAGTAACAGTGCGGAAAACAGACAGTGACCGACTGCAAGCTGCACTAGACCAGCTGCACAGCTGGGCATTGGTGTGGCAATCGCTCACCAATTATGATTACTGCTCTGTCCTCCCTAACGGTACTCCGTTCCCCTTTTGGGGTTTAGCACCTTGCTGGTTTCTTGCTCAGGAATGCTGCTTGTGTGAAGGACCTTGGTGCACATATGTTTGCTGGTTTGCGCACAACCCAGGACATCTTGAGGTGGGTAACGGCTGCTAATATGATGTTTCTGTATGCCGTCTACCCAGCGGTCGCAAAAAGTGTCCTCCTACATTATTCGCCTTTAATTCTTAGGATTTATGCTCACACAGACCTACGTGCTCTCATACGATTTGGCTCCTCGAGCTCCTCCTATCACGGTTCGTCTTTCGGATCTGTTATTCTCGGAGCACCATCAAACAGTGCTTTTGCAATTTCGAACTCAATCATGCTTGAAGCTTATCGAAGAATTTATTTTTCCTCACGTTGCACAAATACTCTTGTGGTATTCTCTTTGAAAAATCTCTGAGATTCACCCGAACATCTTACTACCATTCCTTCTCCGTCGCAATGAGACTGGACCTTAACGTGGTGCGACGGTTTGCGTACCTCATCGACCCATTGAGCTACACTGGGTGATGTCTCCGAGCATCTTGAGAGCTACTCCTGCCAGGTTGATCAATGGTGAGAGGTCAGACAAACTCAGTCTCCTGGTCCTCCAGGTTGGGGGTTTGAAATGGGATGACGTCCATTTCCGTAAAACTAAATCACTGCCACCCCACTGCCTTGCGGACAGGCTTTTGAGCCAAAGGCTTTGGATGAGGACCCTAATCGTCCTCCTGTCTAGGTCTGGGCGCCCTGGCAGTATCCCAGCCCACACACAACCATGACATTTTCTTCAAACATAAGCTTCATCCTGCATCGGCCATCGCGCAGATTATCAAGGGTCGCCTTATCTGCTGCATACAGCAGGGCGGATAAGCGAAAACATGCTACTGCTGGCGCCTCCCTTCTTTCTTTTCCACCTTTTTCTCTTACTCCCATCCCGACCACCATTACTAACCTTCCTTCTATAATTCCCAGCTTAGTTAAGAGCAACCGAAGTGCTACTGGAGTAGTACCATCCGCAGCCACCATCTCACAGCACCTATCGGACGCCTATCGGCAAAAGTCCCTCATAAGGCCACACTGTCCCGCTTCCATGGCGACATTCAACGTCCGCACTCTAAGACAAACAGGTCAGCAAGCTGCACTCGCAGGCACCTTGGACACACTGGGTGTTGATTTGTGTTGTGTGTCTGAAACTAGGATTAATGACCCTAACGGGGTTATTGAATTGACTGCACCCGGCTTATCTTCTCGTTATTGGTTGCACGCATCCGGAGACGCCGCTGCAGCACTCACGGGTCAAGCTGGTGTAGGTAGCATTCTCAGCTCCAAGGCCGAGTCATCGTTGCTTGATTGGATTCCGGTGAACAGCCGTTTATGCGCAGCCCGTTTGATGATATCAGCTAAGGTGCATTCGCGAAGTAAAACAAAACGCTGTTTGTTTGTGCTTTCCGTTTATGCTCCCACCGACTGCAGTTCAGATGTTGTCAAGGACACATTCTATGACGAACTGAACGCGCTACTACGCAGTGCTACTAGTTCAGACATTATAGTACTTGCAGGGAATATGAACGCACAAGCAGGGCGTCTGAGCTCTTCAGCAGCTCAGCTGGGTGGAAAGTATGGACTTAACTCCGAACGGACTGACAACGGCGAGCGTCTGCTGCAATTGTGTGCGGAGCACCAGTTGTTTCTTACTAGCACTGCTTTTAGACACAGTGGGCGCCGAAGTACCACTTGGCGTCCAACTGTAGCTGGCCAGCGATGGACCCAAATTGACCACATAGCCATAAGTTACAGGTGGCGCGGTTCCATTCTGGACTGCCGCTCGTACTGGAGTACCTGTGTCGACTCTGATCATGCCTTGGTACGCTGTGGTTTCTCCATGAACTTTACCGGAGGGTGCACAAAGCGTCTCCGCCGATTGGAAACGGAGAAATTGTCCCAGCCCTCGGTCAGGCAAGCCTATCAAGAAGCACTGCATAGCGAACTCCCGCTGGCTTGTCTTAATGACACTGAACTTCAGTGGAATAGGATCTCGGCTGCCATGCATGGCGCAGGAGCATCTGTTTGTGGCAATATCAATCGTCACCGCACCAGTCACTGGATATCCGAGAGGTCCGTGAACCTGCTGGAAGCCAGAAGACACCTTCCGGCTGGTTCTGAACACAATGTGACCAGACGGGCTATTAGGCGTGCACTAAAGCGGAGCCTACGTGCTGACAAGGAAGCCTGGTGGACCAGTCGGGCTCAAGAAATGGAGGAGGCAGGAGCAGTAGGCAATTACCGGAAGCTCTTTCACATAATCCGCACCACTGGTCCCAGAAAACCAGGCGTCAGTGAGACAATCAGAGACAGCGCGGGTGCGCTGATACACAATAAGGAGCGCCGTATGGCTCGTTGGGCTGAACACTTTCAAGAGCAGTTCAGCTGGCCCCCTGCTCCCGGACCTCTTCCTACTCAGGTGATGCAGGACGTGCCATGGAAGGTTAGTTTAGAGCCTCCGTCGGAGGCCGAGGTCCGAAACGCGATCACAGCCCTCAATCGTTTTCGTGCCGCTGGCCCGGATTCCCTCCCACCTGCACTATTTAAGGATGGAGGTGAAGTCCTCTGAAGGGCACTGACCTCTCTATTCGAACGTATCTGGAACGAAGAGAGTGTGCCGGCTAATTGGAGCGAATCGATTATAGTGGCAATATACAAAAAAGGGCAGTCGCACAGACTTGCGAACCACAGGGGTATTAGCCTAAAGCCAGTTGTGACAAAATTACTGGCCTCGATTATTGTTCGTCGCCTCCCTGCGGAACGGGAATCTCGGATTAGGGAAGAGCAGGCCGGTTTTCGCCCAGGACGTGGCTGTATAGACCGTATATTCACTTTGCGGCAGATGCTAGAGCAGCGCCACTCGTACCGCAGACCGACAATAGCTGTGTTCCTCGATTTCAAGAGTGCGTTCCATTCAGTCTATCGATCGATTCAGTTCGAAATACTTGCGCGGAAAGGTGTTCCCACGAAATATGTGAACATCCTTCATGCTTTATACTCGAACACTACAGGCCGGGTCAGGGTCTTTGGTGTGATATCGGATAGCTTTTCGACTATAAGTGGCGTTCTTCAGGGTTGTCCGATTTCCCCGTTTTTGTTCAATTTCGTCGTGGATTCTATCATGGAGTGTTCCCTTGCGGAATCTCAAGATGTAGGCGTTGAAGTGCTGCCTGGTGAAAGGTTAGTTGATCTAGATTATGCGGACTATATCATCTTGCTTTTCGACAATGTTGAGGCCGTTCAATCAACCCTGAATAGCCTATCCAGAGTGGTCCCATTATTTGGTATGCACTTCGCACCTTCAAAGTGCAAAGTGTTGCTGCAGGACCACCAGCCACTTGATGACCCCTTGACGCTTGCTAACGAGGAACTCGTGGTGGTTGATCAATTCACTTATCTTGGCAGCCGCTTCAGCAATGATGGGCGCATAGAAACTGACGTGAGCTCACGCATTGTAAAGGCCAGAGCTGCCTTCTTGCACCTGCGTCATCTTTGGCGACAGAAGGGAGTTTCCCTCCTTCTGAAGCGCCGAGTATACAAGGCCACAGTGAGGGCTGTTCTGCTGTATGGTAGTGAGACTTGGCCCCTTCGGTCTGAAGATCTGACGCGCCTTCAAGTCTTTGATCACCGTTGTTTGCGAAGCATTGCTGGTGTCGGATGGTGTCGCAACGATAATGTGCGTAGGCGAGTAGTAGATGGTGATAATCATGCTAGCTCCCTAGAACAAATAGCACTGAATAAGTTGCGTTGGCTCGGGCACGTGCGACGCATGCCCGGCCACCGCTTACCTAGGAGGGCCTTGTTCAGTCTACCAGGTGTAGGATGGCGCAAGGCTCGAGGTGGACAGAAGTTGAGTTGGCAGAGGGAAATGAATTCACTGACGATCAAACTGGGTGCCGTTGGTCCGTCTCGCCTTCCGGGTTGGAGTCCACGTGACTCGCCTTGTGCTTGGCTCGAGACTTTACAGGATATTGCTCGCAACCGACATCAGTGGCGCGTCTGCTGCCATCTACTAATCGGATTGTCTGTTTAAAGTGTGTTTGGTGCTGAGTTATCTGCGGGGTAATGGCTGATTATGACACGTGGCAGTGAAAGCCGCAAGGAAGCTGTCTCGCCGATGCCGCCTTATCTTTGCACGATAGCCAGCTGTTTGTGACAGTATGTTGTCTACACAAGGTGTAGGCGCCATGACCCTGAATGTTTGCTTAAGGCATTAAGGTTTCCAAGTAAGTCTCCCTTCTCTCCCTCTTCTTATTCTTTATTTCATAGGTCCTCATGGTTGTTTGGCGGTGAAGCATCAGTTCAAATCGCTGATGTACTGCCGTTGATGATGAGGATGGTGATGACTACCATTCCTTCTAATCGTTATACAAAGCGATAGTTGTCAAGTTGGTCCGCCCTTGGAACAACCACTATCGTCATTAGACACTATTTTCCAAGTTACCTTGCTTTACCTCAATCTTACGCTGCATCGCTGCTTATCCACTTACCTGCTGGGTCGATAGTACGCATGTCGCCTGTCTTCTCTAAGAAACGTGTGACTTATCTGGACGCGACAAGTCTGACCCGCATGACCTCAAAAAAGCGCCGATTGCCACGTAACGAAAAGTGAAGCGAAGTTATACACGGTGTGTCAGTATCTCTGTCCTTTTGTTACCCTTGTT